CTGAATATCTGTTGTTATACCAGTACCACACTGTTTTGACCACTGTGGCTATATAATATGTGCTAAAGTCAGGTAAAGCAAGCCCTCCCACTGTGTCCTTCTTGAGGAGTTCTCTGCTAATTCTGGACTTTTTCCCTCTTCATATGAAGTTGGTAATCAGTTTTTACAATTCTTTGAAGAAGGATGATGGTATTCATATCAGGATAGCATTAAACTTATATAGTGCCTTGGGCAGAACTGACATCTTTATTATATTGAGTCTTCCAATCCATGAGCATGGGGTATTCTTCCATTTGTTGAGGTCGCTCTTGATTTCTTGTAATAGTGTTCTCTAGTTTTCCTTGTACAAGTCTTTTGTTTTTTTTAAGTCAGGTATATCCCCAGATATTTCAATTTGTGCTTGGCTATTGTGAAGGGTACGACCTTTTTGATAGCCTCTCTGTTATCGAATGCTTTTTCTGCATCTATTGATATTATCATGTGGTTCTTATAACTTTTTGTGTCAATGTGGTGAATGATACTAATGGTCTTTTGTATGTTGAGTCATACTTGCATCTGTGGTATGAATCCCACTTGGTCATGGTGAATTATTTTTTTATAAGTTTTTGTATTTTATTGGCCAGTATTTTTTAAAGTATTTTTGCATTGATATTCATTAGGGATATTGGTCTGTAGTTCTCAATTCTTGTGGGATCCTTGCTTGCTTTAGGTATCAGAGTTATACTAGCTTCATAGAAAGAGTTTGGGAGTTTCCCATATTTTTCTATGTTCTGGAAGAGTTTGTGCAATTAAAAAAAAAGAATAATAAAAAACCCCTTGCAAATCAGAATAATACATTTAATAGAGCCTGTATGGTTGACACAGAGATAAGATGCTCAGATGCCCCTGAGAGGCAATACTTGCATTATTGTCTGTGGTGTGTATGGTCATTGGGGTCAGCATTTGCTCGGCCTGTATCACCTTTCAACTTTGTTTTTTCCCCAGTTTGACTTCCTGAACCTTGCTTGCCCTGGTGCTGATCCTTGAAAACACCTTGCTTCCCAAGCACCAGCTTAGTATCCTCTTCCAAAGAATCTGACTTGTGAAAGTATGTCTTCCATCATCCACCTAAACCCTCTGCTGTCAGGTCATCTATAGGACTGCTGTCGTAATGACCCTATAGGATGGAGTGCAACGGTACCTATAGGATGGAGTGCAACTATACCATAAGGTTCCAAAGCTGTACATCTTTCTAGAAGCAGAGTGCCACACCCCTCTGCGAAGGCTGGTTGGTTGAAACTGGTAGCCATTTGGTTAGCAGCCTAGCACTTAACCACGGCACCACCAGGGCTCCTCGTATCCCTTGTCAGTGTGAATAGGCCAATTTATATCATTAAAAGTAGCAAGTACAAAGGATTTAAAATGTTTCTTTAAGAGAAACAATATAGGCTCTGACCTTCCCTTCTCAGTCCTTTTTACAAATTTTTAAAAATGCTGTTATGCTTGAGAATCTACACAGCAAAATGTATACTGATTAAATAGTTTCTATATGTACAATTCAGTGACATTGATTACATTCTTCAAGTTATACAACCACCTCTCTCTCCTCTCTGGGGTCGTTCCTCCCCCAACATAAACTCACGGCTCCCTGAGTTTTCCCTCTGCTCCTCCTGGTTGCTGCTGTCTGTCGAGGACCAGCTGCCACGATGACAAGGTCATTGGGGGTCTTGCCCAGAAGTCAGGGATTGGGCGCAGTCCAAGGCTTTGTGTTACCCTTCACAATAGTCAATGTCTATGTGACAAGCAAACAAATCAGCTAATAGATTTAGATTCAATGTACCATGAAGTCCTAGGAACAAGGTGCAAAGCAATGTTTTGCCCGCCAAGTTTCCCATACGAATTGAATGTAAACCTTGTGATGAAGTTGTTTGAGGCTGATCTCTGATCAGACCTCCCAACCTGATCCTGTCTCCGTTTCTCTTTCTTGCACCCCTCCCCCCATTTTCAGGTTCTCCCATTGTTGCTGTGTAGGTCTTGGTAGCTGTCGATTTTATTCCAGCTAGATTGAGAGAGCACACTGCTCAAGGTACACATTCTTTACCTAAACGATAGTTAACCTAAACTATTGTATGGTTTAATGAGACTCCAGGGAACATTTTTTGGTTTAAGGTTGAAAGATCATCTCAAGGCAATAGAATCGTGTATAAGGGGTTCATCCAGCCTCCATGGCTCCTGAAACTGTGAATTCCGTGCAAATTTGAAATGGTTTCGCATTTCCCCCATTTTGATCAGAGTTCTCTCCTCTCCCCCACACTTGAGTGCATGTGAGTGTATGCAGGTTCAAGACACCGTGCCAATGTCCACTCTATTCCTACTACTACTCATTCAACTTTACTTTTCTCGTGCTTTTGTATAGTGATATATTCTTGAGCTCATGAGTAATTTTCATTGAAAGAAGCCACACATCAAAAGTTGCAGCTGCCATTCATTATTTCTCTTCTAACAAATGTCTACATGGGAGCTTCAAATAATCTAGGCTTTTATCCTTGAGCTTAATTACCCATTTACTGAGTCTCTTGGCTAAAAATATTGTGGACTTTTAGCACAATTGTCACTGTAATAACATACAAATCAGGCAAGCTGACTTTTCTAAAATGACAAATATTCACCTCAATTAGTAATATGACTTAAGTTTGTCATGTAATGGACATTATAAATTATTGATTTAAAATTTAAAGGCATTGGGATGCTATTCCTATATTTGGAATCTGCTATTCTTTACTATATACTTCTATCTCTAATTCTTCATGCCAAATAAATACTGCTGATATGATCAGATTTATTTTGTCAAAATGCAGTGTCTGTGCTATTAAGAGACCTAAAGACTAAAGAGGGAGAATTTACTGTAAAGATGCCCACATGACCTAAGATATAAATTACTCTATTTATTAATTACTCTGCTAACTAATTTGCCATTGTGGTAAGCATGGTTTCCCATTTTACTGCTAGAAAAATAATTCAGTAATCCTATTTTTTAAATTAAATTTTTCATTGTGAATTAAGTGGAGGTTTACAGAGCAGATCAGTTTTCCATTAAACAATTCATACACATTTTGGTTCAAGTCATTGATTGCAATCCCTGAAACATAATATCACTTATCACTTCCTGTCTGTGCTTTATGTTTCCATTTCTCCTTCATTCCTCGCCTTTCTGAAATTGGTCCTTGGGTACCATGCTACACTTTTGATCACAAATGGTTGGTTATTCTCACAAGTGCTTATCTTTACAGACCCAACTATTTGGCTGAAAATTGGTCCACGTGGGTGAGTTCAGTTTCAGATCTGAAGGGTGACAAAAGAGATTCTACCAGTCTCTATCCAACCAGTAAGCCTTTAAAGAATTGGGATTTCATTCCACCTTTTCCTCTGTGCTCTCCAGGACCGCGGGGCCCTGGTGGTGTAGTGATTGTACACGGGTCTGCTAGCCACATGTCAGCAGTGGGAAACCCCCAGCCTCTCTGCCAGAGAAAGACCAGCCTTTCTACTCCCATAAAGAGTTACGCTTTTGGAAACCCACAGGGCAGCTCTACACTGTCGTATAGAGTAGCTATGAGTCAGAATTGACTCTCTGGCAGTGTATTTAAATTTATCCAGAACCTTCTGATGTGATCCTTGTCAGAGCAATTGATAGTGGTAGCTGGGCGCCATCCAGTCCTGGTTTTCAAGGTCACGGAGACTGCTGTTGACATGATTATTAGTTTACATAGGGCTTTGATTTTTTAAAAATTTTACTGGCATACGATTCACATAACATACAATTCAACAGTTCAATCATATTAAAATGAGTTGTGCAATCATTACCGCGATCAAGTTGAGAATTTCTTCTTTCTTGTTCTCATTGTTGTGAGCTCTCCATTTGCCCGCAACCACTCCTGCCATATCCCTGAAAGGTCTTTTCTTCTTATCCCTGCGCTTGCCTGTGGCCAGGGAGAGACCAATAACTGCACCTTAAGCAGCCTCTCATGAACTTAAAAAAAGTTTTTGAATTGTGAATTAGGTGGGTGTTTTCATTTCAGAGCTCGTGAACTGTTTTTACTCAGCAGGATGCAGAACACCATCTTTGTGGACTATGTTATGCCAGCTGATCTTGTCTCTTGGCCTAGCAACTCATTCCCTTAGGGTGTTTGGCTATGTCTAAGAAGTTGCCATAACTTGCTCCCTCTATGCTCCACCAAATTCATGGCTATATTATCAGCAAAGGTCAAGACACATGGACAAGTACCCTGTTCAGCCTGTGTGTCCAGCCACGCATTTACTGGTGGATGACTGCTGTAGCAGGGCTGTGGACACAGCAGTATTTGCCTTTCTTGTCTTTAACTTTGCACTCCTCCTAGTGGCTTCTCCTGCCTCCGACATTTTTACCGATGTCCCTTTTGTTGTATATTGACTTCCCTTTCACACAAGTTCATATATGGCTTCCCGCTAGTTAGTGATTTACCTTCCCATCCCCTTCAGCCCCTGGTAATCATTGAAGAATGTTTCTTTTTGTGGGATTTTTTATTATTATTACTTTTTTTTATAATAGTGGGATCATCCAATATTTGTCCTTTTGTGACTAACTTCTTTCACTCAGGTCCATCTTCCATGTTCATCCACACTGTGAAGTATTTCATGGGTTTACGTTGGATGATGTTATTGGATGGATCTTTGGAGAAGAAGCACAGCCGCTTCTCCAAAGTTGCCCCAGGTGACTGAAAACGCCAATCATGCTTCAAATCACGATGATGTAGATTTTTTAGGATAAGACAAACGAAACTAAGAAGTTTTGATTATGACTTCATTTCACCTTTTAGTGAGACCCTACATCCTGAAACATAACAACACATTGACTTAACCCCCACAGAATACAATGAAAGATGCTAAGATTATCCTTGACAATTGGGAGCCAACCTGGATTTTATTCTGATTTGAAACATTAAAGATCTATCATTTTACATATTCATTTTTTGAAAAACATAGGATTAAGACACACGGATTGACCAAGGTACAAATGTTGAAGGGTCATCTCTGGGAATCTAAAAAAGATTTTTAAAAAAGGAAGAAAGTTGTTAATTAAATATTGCCATATGAAAAGTTATTATAACTCAGAAGTTAAATTATAGTGTTTTAAAAAGACCAGATCAGTGTTTATTTTTTCTTATTAAAGTTATGTAATTTTAATATGTTTTTTTCAGTACTTGAGTTAAACATTTACTTATCCTCAGATGGTCTTATATTTGGGATGAGATGCATCTTACCCAAAAGCTGTGTAATTTCAAAAGTATAAAACACAATTTCATTTTTATACCAAATATTCATTTAGGGCAGCCAAAATGGTTCAACACTTAACTGAAGAATACTTCTTTTTTGGGTGGTGGTGGTGGCATTGACTTATATTCTTTTTCTAACAGTTTTATTAGCATTTTATCCACATATCATGTAATTCAATAGTTCAGTGGTATCAAGAAGAGTTGTAAAATCTTGACCACAATCAATTTTACAACATTTTCTTTTTCCTTGTACTCACGTTATTTGTGTAATTATTTTTCCAATTTTGGCAAAAATATACACAACAAAACATTCTTCAATTCCACAACTTCTACATGTATCTCAGTAATTCAGTGCCATTGATTATACTCTTCGTATTATACAACTATTATTGATATTCCTCTCCAAATTGTTCCACCACCATAAAAATGAACTAAATGTCCTCTTAGCAAAAACTCTTTGAAGCTTTATTCTATTAAAGTGTGACTCACAAGCCATCCAAGATGTATTGAGTGACTTTATTGTTATTAGATACAAACCAGTAAACTAATACTTTCCCACACTATTGACTAGGCAGATGTCCAGTCAATATAATTTGGTTATGGAGGTACTTAAAATAGCACACCAATTGCATTGTGATAAAGGATATAGGTAATCTACCATATCCTCTTGGCATTAGGCCATTAAATAAGATGATTAACACTGGCTTGGTTGAGCATGGTTTTCTTTGTGACTTAAAACAATGAAACTCCCGTTCAATGACACCCCCATGCCCACCCCCCCATTCATTACCTTCAAGTCAATTCTGACTCAAAGTGACAGCCAGTCATTTACTTTTCAGTTGCTTTGAAAAATATAGGAAGTGAAAGGTAGAGGTAAAACATGAATGTTCACGGAAAAACCTTCCCCTGCTCTGTAATTTTTTCATGGCTATGGAATCAATACCAAGAACCTAAAAATGTCTCTATCCGGGACGCTTATAACAAGAACCTCATTTACCATGTCTGTAAACTGATCCGCACAGTTCATCCTGATGGCCTCATGAGTTACTGGGCTATTGAGGGTGAAGGTCGAGGTCAGCCCCTTGGCTTTGCGGGCAGCACTCACAGCATCATTTATGGCGAACAACACAGAGCTTCCCATGAACATTCCAGCCTCACCCAAGCCCTGGGAGAAAGGAGAAAGCACAGTTCTTTTAGGACTTGTGTAAACACACACACACACACACACACACTCTTCTGGCTTTTTCGCTTTCAGTGGGGAGTGAGTCTGAATTGACAGAATCAAATCCCCCTCATGTCCAGTTGGATGGGGGGCACTCTCTAGAGAAGCTCATGGAGAATGCACCCAGGCATCAGGACAGTAGGGAAGTGGCAAACACCTGCCCCTATACCCAGGTAAAATCCTAAAGGCCAAAGCCCTCAGTGCCCTCAGTGATACTACCACATGGGCTCTAGACCATTTGTGTTGAACTCAAAACCCAATCAAAACAGCCATAATCATTGTAGTTGTGAAAGACAGGGGTGCTTGCCTCTAGACAGGGTATCTATTAAAATTTTCTCCTGTGTTGACTTCCTTGGCCCATGTTGAATGTGTCTGTATTAACAGTGTGGAGGCATTGTATTTCAGATAATTGACTAGGACATTTTTGTACGGACTTTTCTATCCTTTTCTTTCAAGGTCTCCAATCTGTGAAGGGCCCCAAGCAGATAAAGGCTTTCTCAGGCTTTAGCTTTTAAAAGCCTAGCTTATTCTGAGGCAGATTGGGATAGAGTGGTGGTGCCTTGGGGGAATGAAGAGGTAGTTCCGCAGTCTCTGTTATGGATTGAACTGTGCTCCCCACAAAGATAGATTGAAGTTCTAACCCTTGTCTTGTGACTATGACCTTGTTTGGACTCAGGGCTCCCTTGTTTATGTTAATGAGGTCATATTGGAGAGGGGTGGGTCCTAAACCTAATTTCTTCTGAGTGGTGTTTTAAAAAGAGAACAGGCTTGGAGAGCCACACACAGAGGGAAGACCCCCGTACAAGAATGACAACAAATGTCAAGAAATGCTCAAGCTACCGAGACTGCAAGAGATATGAAGCTTCCCCTAGAGTTTCTGAGAGCAAAGGAGAGGGAGAGGGAGAAAGATAAATTCCTTGATTGGGAACTTTTAGCTTTCAAAACAATGAGAAAATAAAACGTATATATATTCTTTAAAGCCACCTATCAGTGCTCCTTAGAGGCAAGGATAGTTGGACTTTGTCTCACGTACTTTGGACATGTTGTCAGGAGAGACCATCCCTGGAGAAGGACATCATCATGCTTGTAAAGTGGAGGAGGGGCAGTAAAAGAGAGGAAGACCCTCAAGGAGGTGGATGGACACAGTCACTGCAACAATGGCCTCCAGCATGGGGGCAATTGTGAGGACGCTGCAGGACTGGACAGAGTCTGTTCTGTCGTGCACAGGGTCCCTGTAGGCTGGAATAGATTCGATGGCACCGAACAACAAGCCACATCTGTGGTGTTTGTGTTAGGGTGGCACTGGGAAGCTGGGGGCTGAGGAGTGGAGCAGGAGAGCAGACTGCTAGACCCACAGAGGAAGGAGTGTTTCTTTACAGACGCCCCCGGAAGAATCTGCTGTACAAGTAGAGACAGAAGTCACTCAGATAGGAAGTCTCGCCTCCCTCCCCTACCTTGACCCACTCTGAAGAAAGGAAGGTCCTGCAACCCTAAGGTCAATGTTGCCCACCTGTCTGGCTAGAGGTAGCCTCAAAATAAAACCTAAATCCTGGAGCCAGTATTTTTGCGTAGGTGCATATGAGAACTCCTGGGTGGGCCTTTTGAGTCCCGTGGAGCTCACTCGCTCCTGGGAGCATGGGGTTCATACCTGCGGCGCGGCATCAGTGTGGACTATTAACTCAGAGCAAATAAGCAGCAAGAAGCTCGCTTGAAGGATAGTATGCACAAGAAGATGCGCCGGGAAGACTGGAAGGTGCAGGAAACAACGATGGAGTGTGCCTACTTCCGTTTGCTCTCCTGAAACCCTTCGTCTCATTTACCAAGAGGTTCTACCCCCCTCCCCCTCCCCCTGCCTGTCTGGTTCCCATTTGTCTCATGGCCTCCCTTAAGAGGGAAGATGTATATTTTCCGACATCGGTCGAAGGTCATTCGGCTGGGAGCTTTATTTCCTTCTCTCCTTCTCCCTCGGGAATTTGTTTTCGGAAGAATAAACAAGTTCCGAGTTCCTTCATCTTGAGTTCTTACCTTGGACGAGTAGATGGCGATGGGGTTTCGGGAACGCACCAGCGTGACGTAGATCTCTTCTGGGATCTCAGTGACTGTGGGGATCTTGTAGTCATCTGGACCCCGAGAGTAAAGCACTCCTTCTGGGGAATACTTCAGCTCTTCTATGGTATACAATCCCATGCCTTGGATAAACGCCCCCTCAACCTGCAGCCACAAGCGGCACATCATTTTGGTTGAAGACATGTTCCAGTGGGAATGGAAACAGAGCTCTGACTATAGCAAGCTCTTCTTGAAGCCCCTGGATGGGCATCTGCCATCTTCCTGGCTTCACCCTCACCCTTTCCCCCTGCCAGCCCCCCCACGCTGCAGATGCTCCACCTTCCCCAACAAACCGCACCAAACCAGCCAACCGACAGAGCCCACCCACTCGTGGGGACTTCGTGTGTTACAGGGTAGCATCGAGCTCCTCCCTGCCATTGTCCAGGCTCACCTTGAGGCATGTGAGTCACCAGACCTCGGGAAGGGTTCAGCGGGCGGTCAAGCATAAACTGTTGGCACCACCCAGGAACACCTTGCAAGTTCCCGGTGATTTTCCAAATCCACCAGCTTCGTTCTCCCTTCTGAGCTTTCGTCAATACAGCTTCCGATTCTCTCCGCCCCTCTCCACCCCACCTTGTCCACTTGGCAAACTCCTCCCCTCTCCCAGTGCCAGGAGAGGAGCGACCTCCCGGAGTCTCGAGTGGTCGACTCTCCCCCCAGGCCCCTGTCTGAGCTGCTCCTTCCGACTTGGAAGAGCGTGGTGGCAGCGTGGCCCTCAATGGGTCGCACAGGTCAGCAGTGTGAAACCAGGCGCTGCTCTGCTGGAGAAAGGTGGGGCTCTCTACAGTCACAGTCTCGGAAGCCTGCCAGGGGCAGCTCTACCTCGTCATATCGGGTTGCTTGAGTCCATTGAGTCGTGGCAGTGAGTTTTCTATGACACCTGGAACACATTCCCTATAATGGCAGCACGAATTCAGGTCATCTCCCCCTTGTTTTCCTTGATTCCTCTTTCTTGCTTTCTCTCTCTCTCTCTCTCTCTCCTCGACATGTTTATAAGCATGTGCAAAGCTGGGCCTTGTATTGTATCCTGTGCTTTGTGTGTGATACCTGGTACATGGATATTCAAAGTACTCCGGGAGATGATATGAAAATAAAGCTAACATTAAGGAATATGGACTAGAATAAATGGGGCCAGGGCACCACCATTTATTATAGCATCTTGCTTTCTTTATTTCCCTTTACAGTTTTTTTTTTTTTGAGGCTAGAACAATATTAAATAGGATGGGCTGGGAGGAATAGCTAGATTTATTAAAATCCATGCTCTCTTCTATTTCCAAATGATTGTACTCTAGGGAGAAATGTCCATTAACAAAGGTTTCAGCGTGGATGTCAAATTACAAACAATGAAGGGAGTTATAGTCTGTGTTGTACTGAGATACAAAATTTAGAAATACGTTAAGTAAATGTAAGTGCTCAATTTAAAGTGCAATGCTTGTCTCCAAAGGAAAAGATTAAAGCCCCAAAGAGCCTAACACCCTTCTGGTTTTCTTCCCTTTGCCAATAGGGGCAAATAATAGCTTTTTCAACCACAGTACCTCTGTTTCCACCTTTGCTTAAGCAGCAAAGAGGTAGAACTAAGTCTGGAGCAAGGTGGGAGGAAGGAGATGGCCTGGGGCTGGAATGGGAACCCTGGGTGCCTGTGTGGTTTGCTGTAATAAGCCAACTTTACGGGCTTAAGAACAATTGAAGGCATGGGCAAAATGTGCCCAATGTCAGCCCCAGCCTAGCTGAACTATGATCACGTCTGGGTCTGGGGTGGGCCCAGGAATCACATTTTTAATGCACAGCACAGTTCTCCCTTGTACGGAGTTAGAGAACTACATTTTGAGGGACACTGAGGGTTGAATGGAAATGCTGCTTTGAATCTCCTACCAGTCAAGTAAAGGCCGTGTGGTTGGAGGTTTATTTATTTATTTATTTTTCAGAGTTCATTTATTTTATTAATCATTTTATTGGGAGCTCTTACAGATATAATAACTATGCATAATTCAGTTAGACCAAGCATAATTTTACAATAACAAATGTTTCAAAACATTTTCTTTCTTCTTGAACTCTTTGATATCTGCTCCCCTGTGGTTGGAGGTTTAAATCCACTCAGAGATGCCACAGAAGAGAGGCCTGGCATTTGACTTGTGAAAGATCAGCCATTGAAACCTTCACAGAGCACAGTGTTATTCTGACATGCAGAGAGTTGCCATGGGGAGGCTTGGCAGATGTTGGTAGTGATAAAGTTTACATTGGCTAGAACTGTTGGCAGATGAAAGCCAACCAGGGTTTTGGTGCCAAGCTACTCCACCTCTCCAGATCCTTGCTCCTCAAGTGCCAGCTGCAGCCCCACTGCTTTCACCTGCCTCCCTTAGTGGCTGGTCAGCAATTCTGGGCTGAGCTAATGTTGGCCACATCGAGGAACAAGTGTAGGTAGGAAGAAGCCCAGACAAGATCCACCGCTAATTTGGGTGGAGTTAGTTAATTTTATTTACTTGTGAGATAAAGAATGGTAATTAAATTCAGTAAGAAGGCAAACATTGGGTTTAAGCAGCCATATTCTCTTTCCATTCCTTTAAAAGGTGCAGCTGTTCAAACTCAATATACAGTATATGTGAATTCTAATGGCACTTTGGAGTCCCAAGGTGGTGTGAACTGTTAACACATTTGGCTGCTAATGTAAATGTTCCATGGAAGAAAGGCTTGGCGATCTACTTTTGTAAAATCAATCATTGACATTGGGCTTCTACTCAAGTACTCCCTCAATGCAAGAACACTTTATTCTAATTACCTGGCATTCTCTGATCTCACCTTCCCAACATGATTGCTGAAGACAAAGTGGGTGCATAAGCAAATGTGGTGAAGAAAGCTGATGGTGCCCGGCTATTCAAAGATATAGTGTCTGGGGTATTAAAGGCTTGAAGTTAAACAAGCAGCCATCTAGCTGAGAATCAACAAAGCCCACATGGAAGAAGCATACCAGCCTGTGTGATAATGAGGTGTCAACAGGTTCAGGTATCAGGCATCAGAAGACCCAAAACAATCATACTGATTCAAACAATTGGGGTAGGAGTGGAGACCCAAAGCCCATCTGTAGACAATTGGACATTCCCTTACTGGGTCACAAGGAAGAGACAAGGGTCACAAGGAAGGGACAAGTCAGCCAGGGTGCAGTATAGCACTGATGAAACACATAACATTCCTCTAGTTCTTTAATGCTTTCTCTTCCAAACTATCATGACCTCAGTTCTACCTTACACATAGGGCTAGACCAGAGCCTGTACTCTGGTACAGATAAGAGTTGTCAACACACGGAATCCAGGACAGATAAACCCCTCAGGACCAATAATGGGAGTGGCGATACCATGAGGGTAGGGGGAAGGTGGGGAGAAAGGGGGAACCGATCACAGGGATCGACATATAATCTCTTCACCCCACACCAGGAGGACAAACAACAGAAATGTGGGTGAAAGGAGACAGCGGACAGTGTAAACATGAAAACAATAATTTATCAAGGGTTCATGAGGGTGGGAAGGGGGGATGGAGAGTAAAAAGAGGAGCTGATATCAAGGGCTCAAAATGTTTTGAGAATGATGATGGCAACATATGTACAAATGTTCTTGATAGTATTGATTGCTATAAGAGCTGTAAGAGCCCCCAATAAAATGATTTATTTAAAAAAAACAGCCATTGAAATCCCTACAAAATTCCATTCTCCTCTGACACACTTGTTTTTCAATTCAACAACTAATTTTAATTTTTTTAATACATCACTTATTGGGGGCTCCTACAGCATTTATAACAATCCATGCATCAATTGTATCAAGCACATTTGTACATATGTTGCCATCATCGTTTTCAAAACATTCTCTTTCTACTTGAGCCCTTGACATAACCTCCTCTTTTATTCCCTTCCTCCCCTCCTCCCCACCCACCGATTTTTAGATGTGACTTAATTAGGATGTATCTTGAAAATAGTTTCTAATTCTGAGCACATAGAAAATTGGAATGTTGCGTAAGTGTTCTTCAACCAATCTTGTATATTCTACACATGGAGAGCGAGGGAGAGAGAGAATGCTGGAAAAAAGTCCCTAGCAAAGTGACGAAGGGCTGTCTTTGCATGACAGACACATGTGTGAACTGATCTGCTGGATAATTCCCTATGCTTGACGGACTTTAGTATCCGCAAAGAATGGCTGCTCAGTGGAATTGACCAACTGCCCCAGGCAGCATGGCTCTGGAATCACCCACCTGTCCAATGTCAAGGGCAGGGTTGATGCTGAAAGCAGCGTCCATGAAGATGTCAGTCCTCCGCAGCTGCACCCAGAGAAAGTAAGAGACCAAGATGGTTCGTTACTTAAAATAACTTTTTCACGAGCGTGGCCATTCTTCCGCACTTCTTCCACGGGGAGCATCACATAGGTTGTCACAGTCAGCAGAGAACAGACGTTTCAAGCTGGGGTTTTTGACATGAGGATGGGCACCCTAAATGCCACGCGTTACCTTATGAGCTCCTGTCAGACAGTCGATTTCCACCTCAGAGCAGGTTGCTCCGTAGACGTAATATGGGAATGCATGGCCCTCTCCCTTCTCCCAGTCCATATTTGTCTGGTAGCCTCTGAGAAGAAAAATCAGGAGGTAAAAGAACAGGTGCTGTCCTCACGAGGGAATCCGATCACCCCTCTCCGCACCAAGGCCTGGGGATGGACAGAGAAGACAGGCTGCCTGCCACATGGTGGCTTTGGGTAGCATCCACACACCAGGGCCGGAGACCCTGTCACTCTTCCTCTCTCCCTCTGCTGCTAGGGAGCTTTTGAGCACGATTTTAAGAGAAGCACACAGACCCAGAAAACACTCCAATGGTCTGACCCCTACCCTTCCGAGCTCGGATTTGAGACAGTCAGAGAGTGTGTGGGTGGTTACAGTGTTCCTCCTGGGCGAGTAAAGACTGTCCCAAGGAATCTCTGCATTGCCTCTGAGTGCCCCGCCTGCTCCCAGAACTCCTTTCCTGCCCCTATGCTCCAACAGCCAAGAGCTAACTCTGGTTCAATCAATCAGTGCTCTCCCTGTAC